TTAGTGAAACAAAACTGTTTCCAACAATATCACAGACATAGCCAGTGATGCATTGTCAGCATCCACCTTTCCTTACTAAGACCAAAAATGGTCAGAATTAATTGTAATTTAGGTCCTGGTGAGAAAAAAAGGACATAGAACCAGATCTGAAAGAAAACTAAACTGAACATTTCTTGCTGTCTCAAACTATTAAGTTTCAAGATATTTCCGTCTAATATAATTTGAAATAGAGTCATATCCTTTTAGAAATCAGTGGAGATTTTTTTTCCATTGGGCTTTTATTTAAACCTGTTTATGGAAGAATCATCTACCCAAATGTGTGCGGGGGTTTGATCCAAATATTTTTTTCTGTGCTTCTTATTTTGTCCAAGAAAAACATTTCATGCTGAGATGAGGAACTTCATGGACAGAAAAAAATATTATGTGTTTGTGTGTAACAGCAAAGATAAAGTCACTATAGTAATGAAAATTATAAAATTATATACTGTTTCAAGTGCTTTATAGAATGGAACATATGTCTAAAAATGAGGAAAACAGTTGTTTCTATATATGGACCAATGCCATATTTTTGACATAGCCAAGGAAAAAGCTCCAGTTGTGTCTACGGGCATTTCATAATTCATCGTAGTGGAAAATTGATATTGAAGATATATGCCAAGTTATATTATTCACATACATGCTTTATTTCCACAATAGTTCTAGATTTTTTTGAGGATTCCTGCCACATAGATCTCTGTCTAGCTTGTCTCTCTATTACTTGCCTAGGCCAAGAATCCTGAAATGTTGATTCTTATGCAGTTTTTCCATTATTTTCTAATACTATTCTTTTGAACAATTATTGCCTGCTTTGTATTTATCACTGGTCAACGTTTTGCAATACTATTAAATTGATGTTATCTGTTCAAGCAAGGTTCTTCTTAACCAGAGCAGGGTAATCATGGAGAAAAAAATAGTCTTCTCTCAAGAACTTTTCTTACTGACCAGGATAAGCCATCCTAAGATTATATCCCAGCAACTAAATTATGAAAGCCAAATATCTGACTCCCTGCCCTTAACCCAACAGGAGGCACCAGGAGTTTCCTTAAGAACTTGTTTAAGAGCAGAACATAAAAAGATGGAACAGTATAGAAGTACTTGGTTACACAAAGACAATGAATCAGGTAGGACTATTCAAAATTAATTGACTGAAATAAAGGGAGCTTTATTAGAGCTAGCTATGTTAGAATAAGGTAAAAGAATTCTAGCAATCTGACTATGGTAAATCCAGTGCAACTAGTTTATCACTAAGGGTCTGCCTTGATTCCCAGACTATCAAACATTGTCATAAAATAAAAAAACTGGCATTTTATTCTGGATTTTCTTTAGAAATTTCCATTCTATTAGTCCTCCCATGGTATCATTAATACACTTTCTGTCAACCTTTAAACGATTTTGGCTGCAGCCATCTTCACTTCATTTTCAGTTGCCAAAGTAAGGGGAGAGGGGAGATGTATTATCTTAGTTTAGATATAACAATAAGTTGTTTTGTGGGAACCAAGGTCAAGTTACCTAAGTTTTGGCCGGCTAAAACTTCTGCTAGAAAGTCCACCAAAGCAGTTAATTGGGGATTGTGATTTATGACACATTGCAGGGAAGAAAAATTTATGCAAAACTCTCAAAATGTGAGTTCCATTGAACCCATTTGGACTATCTGGGGTATAGAATTTCCAGCGAAGGCATTGAGATGGATCCAGCCAAAGTGAAAGTGGTATTAGAGTGGCAAACCCCCCCCAACCCAAAAACAACTCCAAAGTTTTCTGGGATTCACAAACTTCTACTGACAATTCATTCCCCCTTTTGCCGAAATAGCTCTGCCAATTACAGAACTATTAAAGACAGAGAAGAATGGGGTGAAGCCCCGACCCTGCCAACCCATGCCTTAGTCAATAGAGTACCAAACAGCTTTTGAGAATTTAAAGAGAGTGTTTGCAGCAGAACATGTTCTCAAACACCCTAACCACAAGGAACAATTCATCATCCAAGCTGATGCAAACAGTGTGGCTGTAGGGCTGTTGTCTTGCAAAGAAATGAGAAGGAGGAGTTGCAGCTCTGCACCTAAACTTCCAAAAAATTAACTGACACTGAACGGAGATGGCAGTATGGGAGAAAGAGGCTTTGTGTGGTGGGCGCTGCTCACCTAGCATCACTTTCTCAAAGGGGTCAACTTGCCGGTTGAGTGTGGACTAATCATAAGAATTTAGAGGCATTGAAAATGCCCCATAAACTGTCCCCTAAACAAGTCCGCTGGGCTCAGTATTTTATCCATTTCAATTTCACACTAAAGTACATCCTAGGGGGAAAGAATTTCCTAGCTGATGCCCTGTCCAGACTTCCCCAGTACAAAAGGCTGTGTGAGGAAATTGTGAATCCCATCATCCCACAACCATAGTCAATTTCTCAGATAACATGGTGGGCAACCAAGGGCAAATCCACCTGAACCTGACAACCCACTGACGAAAAGGTTAAAAGAAGAATTGAAAACCGATCCCTGGTTCCAGGAAAACAGGACCCTACTAACTTGTCGAAGCAGATTAGCCTGGAAAGGGTCAAAAGTATATCTACCAGAGATCCTTAGAATTCAGGCCCTCCAGTCCAATCATGACAGCAAGCAAGCCAGTCACTTTGGATACTTAAAAACTTTATATTTAATTAGAAGGCAATTTTGGTGACCATGCTTGAAGAAAAATTATGTAAAGTGCTGTGCAACTTGTGCTACAATAAAAAGATGCCCCAGCAAAACACCTGGGCTATTGCAGAAAATAGCAGATCCATCCAAACCTTGGGAAGAGATCACTAGGGACTTTATTGTGGAATTACCAGAAAGTAGAGAAAATAGGGTAAAATGGACTGTGATTGATATTTTTTCAAAGTAAGCTCACTTCATTTCCTGCTCTGGTCTCCCCTCTGTAAGGAAACTAGCAAGAATGTTTCTCAAGCATATCTACCAATTCCATGGAGCTCCAAAGCAGATTATTTCAGATAGAGGGGTGCAATGCACTGCAAAGTTTTGGAGAGACTTTCTTAAACTTATTGGGTACGCGTAGGGACTGTCATCTGCTTTTCATCCATCTATGAATGGGACTGCTGAAAAAGCTAACGCAATGGTAGAACAATACATCAGATGTTATGTTGATTACAAGCAAATGAACTGGGCTGACCTCCTCCCCTTTGTTGAGGTGGCTTACAATAACACAGTGCATAGCAGCACTGGACTCCTTTTAAGATAGCTACTGGCAAGGAGTTCATACCCATATCTGAGCTCCCTCAGGACCTTCCCATTTCTCAAATTGTAGATCAATGGGTGACTTCTTAGAAAGCTGTTTGGGACAATGCAAAAGCGGCTCTAATAAAAACCTCATAAACTTACAAAGAACAGACAGACAAGAAAAGAGCTTCCCAGAGGCCATTTCATGGGGGGGGGAGTTTATCTCTCTACAAAGTACTTAAGACTCAAGTTATCTAGTAAAAGGTTGGGATCAAAATTCCTTGAACCTTTTCCCAAAGTGTGGATTATAAACCCAGTCACTATGGAGTTAAAGCTCTCTCGCCTTTTAGGGAAAGTTCACCCTGTGTTCCACTGCAGCCTACTGAAACCATACAGAGAGTCCTCCTTGAGACCTCCTCCAAGACAGGCACCTGGTCCCCTTGTCATGGAGAGAGAGACTCATTATGAAATAAAATAAATCCTTGATTCAAGATTATACAAGGGAAAGTTACAGTATCTGGTGCAGTGGAAAGGATACCCACTATCAGAGGCCACCTGTGTTAAAAGTGCTGATGTAAAAGCTGATAGATTAATACATAAATTTTATGATAAACATCCAAATAAGCCTAAAGGTGATTCCTGACTCCTTTTCTGCCCATAGGATTTCTCTCTTCTCTAGAGAATCCGACTATCAACCTTCAAATGATTTTGGCTGCAGCCATCTTCGCTTCGTTTTCAGTTGCCAAAGTAATGGGAGTGGGGAGATGTATTCTCTTAGTTTAGACATAACAATAAGTTGTTCTGTGGGAACCAAAGTCAAGTTACCTAAGTTTTGGCGGGCTAAAACTTCTGCTAGAAAGCCTGCCAAAGCAGTTAATTGGAAATTGTGATTTATGACACATTGCAGGGAAGGGAAGTTCAACTTGAAACTTTGTAACCAGGGAGTGGGAACTTCAGACTTGGTTTCACCTTTGTTCGTGCCAATACTATATAGCCATTAAGTGTTCTTTGACAAAGAATATTGTCTTAGAGTTCTTTTATTTTCTCTGGTCTCATCTATTGGAACCATGGCACTTTGTTTGATATTCTCATTTTATGAAAATTTATAAAAATAATAATTTGAATTATAGATTTTAAAAGAACAGTTAGTTCAACCAGCATAAGCCATGAATATAGCGGACACAGATGAATCACCTGATAATAAGCTAGCCCTAGCTCTGATTATTGCATCATGAAAAATGCCCTATATCCTCACCAGAGACATTTAATGGAGAAGCTAGGAAATTTTCCAATGTCTTCAATCAGTTCACCTTATTAATGCAACTAAAAAAAAAAGATTTTTCCAGATAGAACACAATGTTGTTGATTGAAGTAGCTAACAAATGTGCCACTTCTTACTTCTTTGAACAAATTCCACTAAATATTAATGGTTGTATACTTACTTTATCATTTGGTATGGGAAATCATAATTATACTGGTTAAGGGATGAACATAACATTAAAGCATAAGATTAAAAATTGTAGAATTGACAAATACAAATTACCAGTTTCTTGCCATATTTAAATTGTACCCATATTAAAAGATAATTAGCCAATCATTTCTCACAAGATACAGTAGTATATTGTACTCTATCCTTCAACGTTTTTTCAGTTTTATTCATCAATTGTTATCAGCAATGCAAACAATTTGTATATTCTAATTTTCTTTTTTCAAAAAATCAAAGTAGCTTTTCTAAGTAAAATTTAATTTTACTTACATATTTGGAGGTAGTTAAGTCAACATAAAATACCACCATTAAGGCAAAATGCATTACTACATAGATATACATGTAGCTTTGCAATTTGCAGTTGAAAGGAACTTCCTTCCCAGTGACCTACAATTAATAAAGAGATTATTTTTATTATTAAAATAATCAGTAATTTAAAATGCTTTGTCACATATATTTTATTGATAATTTCTCTTTACCTTTATTGAAAATAATTTTCCCTGAGATATCTTTAACTGATTTATTATTTTAATCGACTCAATAGTTATTTTTGTTCTTTTCATTTCAGAAGCATCAAGGTGCTTCTGGGTTAATAGAATTAGATGGTGACTTCATTGTTGCCATGGGATGCCCAGTTGGGGGCTGCTTTCATGTCTTCATTAATGTGCCTACCAAAGTATTTATCTACTCACATTTGCACTCTTTTGAACTGCTAGGTGGGCAGGAGCTGGAGCGAATGATGAGAGTTCATCCCATATCATAGCAACAGTCGGGTCTTGAACACAGGCTTTCTGACAGTTAGACCAGCATTCTAACCAGGTGAGCTACCGCACTCCCACCCAATAGTTATGCATATTTATATAAAATTTATAAATTGTTAGATGTAATCATTCTCCCACTTTTTCATTGTCTTTCTTTTTCACCAATATCATGTTTAATGTCCATAAAGCAAGTAAATTTATCAGCCTACAACACTGAAATGTTTCTATGAAATCCTCTAATCCTATGAAATCCTACCTCTCACCACATACGAAATAAATATAAATAAGCAGTCCTATCTATTTACTTACCTGCTTAGGAAACAGAATTAAAATAAATAAGATATAGATTTATGCACCAGTGGTATTAAAATCAAAGTAATTGCTTTTCAATTAAATGTGCTGAGAACTGCCAACTAATTCTTTTTTAAAAAAAAAATCAAAACTGATCCTCTGTATTGGAAAATGCACCTACTAAGTTCAATGGGTTGGCTTTTAGAGAACCCACACATATTAAAACAGCTTGTTTGCAAATACCCTGGGTTATAGTATCTGGAAATTACTTAAGACTTAATGGACATTTATACTTACTTCGGGAATTTCCTCAATAAGGCCAAGTCTTGGCTTGCCTGGTGCCCATCCTGGTCCCTTGAATATAACTGAAAGCTTATTGAAAAATCCAGGTGTGCTCCAAAATATGTTCCACATATAAACACAATGATGAAACTGTATGAATGAAAAACATTGTTTATATTGCTCATAATTAAATGTTAATAAAAATACAAAACAAAAGAGAAGCTTTCATTTCTCATTATTACAAATATAATATTTGAATATTAATTTTAGAAAACTTTGCTTGAATATTTTTGAGAAGATAAACAGTCTAAATATCCACTGGCAATTTTTGAGTGTCCAGTGCTTTCTTCCCCATTCCACTGGAATGAAAATATTGATTTTACTTCAGTTGCACTACTTGATTTAAGAAGAGCTAGTGACTGATATACTAGTTAAGACACCAGGCCAGAAACTGAGACATATTGCAGTCTGATCCTAACTGGATGACTTTAACCAATCGCTTTTTCTCTTTGTCCTAAGAAAAAAGCAACGAAATCACTCAGCAAAACAAAAGCAACAACTGCAACAAAATATTTAAAACTTTTGCTTGTCAGTATTTTTTAGGAAATAAACCAGGTTCAGAACTATAGTTTGATTCAAGTTAGTTGAAAATGACAATAGATATTTTCAGTCTCTATCTTGTTGTCATACTATAGTAATAAAAAAGGGAGTAGAGAGAGCAGATAAATGTGGAAAATGTGCACAAAACTCACAGAAGCTGACACATGAAACAACCCAGTGTGCAAAATCAGACCAAAGCAAATTTGAGAAGCATGTTACAATTTTTAAAAAAGCATAAAATAATGTAAAAGTGAGAAAAATCTGAAAAAGATGGAAAGTCTTTGGCCACTGCTAAATACTATACTGACATACAGTATTATGAACTATTTTGTAAAAAAAAATATGTATATGCAGCCTGACTTTTTTAATATTACGGCCCATTGAATGTCGCTGGAATAAAGGCTTATTCATTCAATGGGCTAATGAAAAAAGAATATTAAATTCATGTTTAACTTACTTCTTTTCACCCTTGCAGTCGCTTCTTTAGAAAACAAACTATTTGTGAGTAGACACACACACACACACACACACACACACACAATAACACAAAAATGTCTACCCCATTCGGGCAATGCCTATTCTGAACAAAATATTTGAAATAAATATTTAAATTGTTCAATGTGTTATAATTTATTTGAGTATATAATTTAAAGTTCTGATAATGTAATGTAAGGTAGGTCAGTGGCTACAAGAGATCACTTATTTTATTAAAGCAATGTCATAATTATAGGAGATATCTATCTTAATCAGGGAGACAACTTTTGATGGTTGTTCCAAAGGAGCTTTTTCAAAAGGCAACTAGACTGTGTTTTTCCTTGAAGACATTTTGAATCTGATCCAAGAAGTTTCCACAATTCTTCAGATAGAACTGAAGAAGCTTCTTGGATGAGAAGCGAAATGTCTTTAAGAAAAAACAAAGAAAAAGCTTTGTTTCTTGAAAAAGCTCCTTTGGAACAACCATGACCTGGATGACAGAGACTCTCCATAGACATTTCAATGTTTGAGAGCTTCATTAAACAAAGGCAAGACCAATATTATTTTATGTATTGTTTGTTTGTTAAATTTATTTGCCACCTATCTCACTATGGGCAGCTTTCAAAATGAAATTTAAAAAAATATAAAAATTATGTAAACATAATAAAAGCAAAGCAATAAATGAATAAAAATAAACAATGAAAGTACAATAATAAGAAATGAAAAAGGTGGGCAGAAGAGGAGCAGAAAGCACAGAGGAAGGTGGGAATTAAAAGGCTGCCCTAAGAGGACAGACTAGGCAAAACAGTAAGGCCTTTTTTGTCCTTAAAAGGACAACAGTTTTGCATTTCTTTTAGATGAGAATTATTCTTTAAAAAAAAAAAAGGCTGAGACTATTTTAGAGCTTTTAGCCTGGAGCCTCACATATTGCACCCTTGTTCTAAGCCATAAGAGGCAATGATGCTTGAATATGATCATCATCCTAGGGAGAAAATAAGACAGTTTGATCTAGATTTTTTATTAAAACATAAAAATAATATAGGAAAATTTAATGATAAGGTTTACCTGAACTTTCAAAGGTTCGAAAGTATTTATGGAGTGTGTTAGACCATATATAACTTTATCTTTTTCTGCAGCAAAGGTACCTAGATGGAATATAAACACAATGTTTGAAAAATAAATTTTTATTCATATATATGATCCACATTCCATCCCCTGGATGGCTTATAACATCAAATAAAATAACCTTAAAACCAGAAAGCTATAATACTAAACAAAAATATGTTAACATATATAATAAATTAATCATCTGCTTACCACATAGCCAGCATCATAACTACCTAACAGAGAAAGGTAATAAAAATCATATCCTCCCACAGTGTGTAAGTCAGAGAGACTCTGATCAGGGAAATACCCAGAAACCTGAAAAAATGAACTACTGATTCTACTGAACTAACCTTGTTTTGTTATCAAGCAAGAACAGCATTCAGAAATTTTTAAGTATTCTTCAAAGACAGTCCAAAAAGAGCATTTTACAGTAATCTAAACATAAGATAATAACAAAAGTGATTTACCAAAAATTCTGTCCCAAATAATTAATGTGCCACCATAGTTTTTATCGATACAATATGGATTTCTGCCTAAAGAGAAAATATAAAGCAATTTTTTCATTAGATTTAAACAATATATTAAGGGGAAACCAGAATCAACCACAAATGGTAAAGGTAGTCATTATTATTACTTAAATAGTGAATAATTTAATTAATCATTATGAACTTAATTTACAGCAAGACTATCATTTATAATTATTTCACAATCTTTCTCTCTCTGTAAAATATTTGATACATAGATGGACAGAGAGGCAGTAATATAACCATATAATATATTCATAAATCACCAATGTCTAATTTAGAAATAAGAATTCATGAAATTTGTAAGATTTTATAACACTACTTTAAAATTCATCAACCAAAAAGTGGTGAAAAAAAAGAATTCTATTTATTTTCTCACATTGAGCAATGTCTAAGAATAAGTACACTATTATGGCTTCATAATATCCAGTATTGCCTACCATGATGAACTCTGTGATGACTAGGAGTATTGAGAATATACTCCAACGGGCCAAGATTTTCAATAATCTTTGAAAAAAAAACATGCAGTATGATTACAATGGATTGAAGCTCAATAAAATAAAAGTAGATAATTAAACAGAAGCAAGCAAAGGATGGGGAAAATGTTTAACAAAAGTTTAGTTAATTCAAAAAATTCAGTCAGTTTTCATAATATGGATATTTCTACAATGTGTATAACACAGCAATAACAACAATTCAAAATGACTTCTTACTTCCTGTAAAATATGCTATCATTTTGATTATGTGCAATCAAATTGTTTTTTATTCCTATAGTATTATAATTTGATCATAATCTTTTCTGAAGGAGTCACAGAGAATATTTGTTGAATTCTATTTTTAAAACATTCTCATGTAAGTTTCAAGTTATACCATGTATAACTTATATATCTGTTCAGATCATCCATTGCATATTTGAGCAGATATCTGAATCTGCCTCTCCTTACTTTTGGTTTTTAGCCATTACAACAGTTTTCAGCACTTCTGTAAATGTAAAATTTACACACTCACAAATAAAAAATAGTTGAAAAATTGAGAACACTTGCAAAACCAAAAAAAATTATAGTATATTCAGTCATTCATGGTAATATTTATTTATCTCAAGGTATTATTTCAATGCAGTGAAATGACGCATGTTTATATGTTGTTCTTGCACTCAGTATAAAGTCAATATAATTTCAAATTATACTTTTCTGACTAAGAAAGCTATTACCTAAAAGTGTTTTGGTTATAATCACATATTTACCTGAGTCATGATTTTAATTCTACAGAGCAATTCCCCTCTAGCAATCTAATGATTATTTCTATTTCTAATATTCAAAACTCAAAAACAACACAAATGTTTGCTTTTGAATATTGTCCCAAAACAACTTCAATTGTCTTAGATTGGGACAAAAATCCTCACATTTCAAGTTAATTCTATTTTCTTCTTCCTAAAGCATTATTGTTTTAAGAAGGATGAATCCTGTACACACTTGCTTATGGAAAGGCCTCATTCAAATCATAGTACTTGCTTTTGAATAAAAACTTAACTGGATTCTACTTATTTTAAAAGTAGAGAAAGATTCTCCATGAATTGCGGTTCATAAAATGAAAAATCAGCAGTTTATCTAAAATACCGCACTAACTTTGCTTTACCAAGTTTCAGCTTGTTTTTAAGATAAACATTGAAATGCTTTAGTAAAAATATACCATATTTAGACTTTCAACAGAAGTATTATAGACCAATTCATATTTTTTGGCTTTGGTTAGAAGTGGCTTAGGGCTGTACTTTTGATCAAAGTAGACACTTTTGATTTTTTAAAATCCTTGCGAACAGCATTGCTTACAATATGGATCCTTTGAAGAGTTGATTTTAACCTCTGGCCCACATCTCTAGCACAGCAGTGGGCTACAGTTCAAATCACAGAACAAAATATGTTATTCACCCACAAGAGAGAGTTGCAATGAGGGTAGGAGGGTAAGCTATATATAATGTTGACTATCTTGCGCTTAAGCTATTCTCATCATCCAAGCGGACCAAAAATATTATTCAATCAAAAGTGCTATAAAAAGATGCACAAACATGTCATGAATGGAAAGGATGACTATCTTGCTTAAAGCAGCTTCTCTTCACTGCAAGTAGCAACTTGTATTCACAGTCTTGAATCAAAAGAATAAAGATAGATCTGGAGTCACACACATACACACGGGTAACTGAAATTGCTAAGGTAGGTACTATTGACTATCTTTTTGGGTAATGCTATCTCATAGCCTTGATCTATAATCATTAATGTTAAAGAATTTGTTTCTGTATCTTATCCAACAGCAATTAGGCTAAGATTTGTATAATTACTTGTTTAGTTTCCATGAATTATGGCAGAAATTCAGAAAATAAATTCAGTACAATCATCTGAACCTGGAATTTTAAAACAATTATGAATGTGTTATTGACTAGTATAAATAAGATAGATGTACTCCTACAAATAGTATTACTACTGCTATTGTATTTATACAAATAATCATTCAGTTTTTATATCTTGTGGATACAATCTAAAGTTCCATGTAATCCTGAAAACTTTGGTATGTGGCCTTCAGAAATTTCCAAATATTGTTACATATTTTTGGTTTGCGATTATCACAAGCAAAAAATATTAAGACAAGCGGTATTGTAATAATTGCATTTTGTTATATAACATTTAAATTTAGTGATTGTCCTCACTACAAAGATTTTGACACAACTTGGTAACTGAACAACAAAAATTACACACCATAGGGCCCCATTATGTCATAGTAAACTCACAGGGACGCCATAGGATATTTTACTACTTAATCAATGGAACTGTTATTAAGTCTGCTATAGTGTTTTTTGTGTTTCGGGATTCGAGGCATTGAAGCACGACACATCATCAAACAAGTTTCTTTATTTCACCTTAACTCTACTCCAAGCAACTGCCAAACAGGCACACAGGCCTTTTATAGTTTTCCAACCCCCAGGCAGTCTAGCCAATAGGAATCCTTCTTTCTTTGCACCTTGCGCATGCGCAATGGTCCGGCGCCAGCCAGTCTGGTCCCGGGCAGCTTTTAGATTGCCCGGGACCATTTGCAATATTTCTGGCCCAGGACACAACACCCCTCCTCATCAGGCCCAGGACACAACACCCCTCCCCCTAGATAGAACACACACACTTCCAATTTTTTCATAATAATAATAAATAAAATAATAATAATAAAAAGAAAATAATATTCCTGCTCACACGCAGGCAATGTTCTATAAAATAATAGGGTTATCTAAACAACCCACTCTTTAATGTTGACTTCGTGTGTCTATCTTCAACCCAACATAGGTCCCATCACCTATCCTAGACCAGTAAGGTTTCCTTGTGCTGACAGGAACCTCACATATTCACCTAGATACTTAGGAGGGGCCTTAGTCCTTTGTGACCTACGCAAAGTCAGGGAGGGTGCCTGGCCTGTCAGCTCACCTGCCTGGCTAGGCAGACCAGGACTTGTACTTAAGGGCACCTGGCCTACCGGCCCGTCTTGTGGGCTCACTAGACCAGGACTTTTATGCACAAATTTTGCAGGTGACCCCCTGGTGAGGGGGGCTGGCAGAGTTGTCGGGCTCTCTCCAAGCTCCCTTAGAGCAGAGGAATTTCCCAACCCCCTGGAGTGGCTGAGGACTCCCCAACTACCCTGGATACTTAGTCCCTCAAGCCCGTGACAAGTCTCGGACGTGACCTGCATTGCAGGTATGCCCCAATAATTCCATTTCCCTGTGTAAGTGGCTGGGTTGCCAGAGTCAGGAGCCGCCTCTATGGCAAACCCCTCCTCATGAGAATTCCTGTCTGGAGCTCTTGCAGATATGCATGACTCCCTGTTCGGCGCAATAACTGACCCATGAGGATGCCTTTGCTACTCCCCTGGGAAGTCCCTAGCGACCTGCGGTAATTCCCAGAAACAGTGAGGCTGGGTCTCACAATGTTGACCTGAAGTGTGACTTAGTTCCTAGGCCCCTCCCCCTCAGAGCAGAGGCAGGGGCGGAATCAACAGGGTATAGCCACCAGTGCAGTTGATTGATGTGACATCACAGGATGTGGCTGTCTCCCAAGGTCACTTCATATGATAGAGGTCCAGAGATCTTACAGATGACAGCAGGAACCCAGAGAGGTCCAGGACCATAGTTCCTTGTCCAGACCGGATCACCCACCTGGAGTCTCCTAGGAGCCCGTGGCTGTGACACCTGTGAAGACACCTGGTCTGGGTGTAGTCTATCTAACTTCATGATAAGGCGGCGGCCCCAGGGGAGTTCAGCTGGGCTCTTTCTGGTGGCAGTGGCAGGTGTGGTGCGGTGTGCAAGAAGAAAGTCTGCTAACCTGTGATTCCAATTGTCATGCGTTAGTCTTTTGAGTGCGTCTTTGGTGGTGCACACCATTCTTTCAGCTTGCCCATTGGTGGAAGGGTGGAAGGGAGCTGACGTTGCATGCTGTATCAAGTTGGTCTGAAGGAAAGCCTGGAACTCACAAGATGTAAATTGAGGACCATTGTCAGAAACGAGAACATCAGGAAGATCATGGGTTGCAAAGATTCCTCTTAGTGCCTGGATGGTTCTAGCAGTAGTAGTGGAGGAGTCAGGTACAACATCTAGCCACTTGGAATGACTATCCACAAGGATAAGGAAGAATTGCCCCTGGAATGGCCCCGCATAATCTAAATGTACCCTTGACCAAGGGGTTAGTGTTTCCTCCCACCTGTGTACAGGGGCCTGAGGCATTTCAGGCCATGATTGTTGGCACACCTGGCATCTGTGCACCTGGGCCTCGATAGCTTTGTCAAGCCCAGGCCACCAGAGATGGCTGCACACAAGTGCTTTCATGCACACAATACCCGGATGTCCCTCAGTGAGGCTGGGATAACTACTCTACTCCCCCATAAAAGGCACCCATTAAAGGTAGACAGTCCGTGTCTCCTTTGCCAGAAACTTTGAAATGTAGCATCTGGACATGTGTCAAGCCATCCTGACCCGTGCAAACATGTGATCAGTGGCAGTTTCTGCAGCCACATTCCTAGCATTGAGGGGATATTCAGGCTGAATAGAAAGAATATTAATAGCAGAGGCAGGGTCTGCCTCTATGTGAGTGAGAGATAGCCTACTGAAGCCATCTGCATGGCCCATTTCTGTGCCAAGTTTGTGAATGAGCGTGTAGTCATATGCTGACAGGAAAATGGACCACCTCAGCATACAGGGGGAAATGATGTGAGGGGTTTGTTTGGTTGTTGTAAACAAGCCCAGCAACGGCTTGTGGTCTGTGTAGACCGTGAAGTGACGGCCATATAAGAAATCATGGAATTTCTTTATGCCAGCCACTATTGCCAAGGCTTCTCTGTCAATCTGAACGTAATTCTGTTCTGCAGATGACAGGGTCCTTGAATAGTAAGCCACAGACACTTGTGTTCCATCAGCCTTTAGACGACTGAGTACTGCATCCACCCCATAAGGGGATGCATCGCAAGCGATGCATACAGGCAGT